TTATTATCTTCATCATCATTTATTTTATTATTGACATTAATAAGTTGTACCATCAACAATATGCTAGAAGTGTACATATCTACACACACAATTGCCCCTTCCTAATTCCCCGATTTCCCTTTTTTCTTAATTGTACTTTCTCCAATTTTGTTCAAAACTCTTTTGGACACTGGCAACAGGGCAAATGCAGCGTTGATTCCTTAAAGGACTGCCTCATGTTTACTTTTATCATTTGGCCTCTGAATTTTTCTCCCTTTTCTTTTCTTCCTCTTTCAGCGAATGAAACTCAAGTTTGACATGCGTGGGTGGGAAAATAAAATAGGGGCTTACACTTTATGGACTTCTGGTTGGTGGTTAGGTCTTCCTCTTTGTTTAAAAAAAATCTGACAGAGGTCTTAAAACTCTTAAATATCACCTTATTTACCAGAAGAAATTCTAGATATAGATATAGACACCAATACAGATACAGATACAAATATAAATACAAGCACTAAATACTCACTAAAAACTCCCATAATTCTCCTGATCAAAAAGAGCACAAGTCAATTCTAGCAAGTGCTATGAAGTATCCCTCTAAAATCAAAGGCAGACATGGGGGGGGGGGGACATGAAGACCCCATAGAAGAGAAAGTGTCAAGATCAGCTATGCCTCTCAGTCCACAAAAAAGAAAATAAGATCTTGCCTGAAGTTTTTAATAACAAAACCTTCGCAACCACCTTCGCTTAGATTGTGGATCACAAGTTAGCAATCATCCCTTTTTTAAAGAATTAGGAAGTTTCCAGCTCTTCATTCATTCGCTTCTTTAAAAGAGGATGAGGGGTAGAGGAAACCTGTCACACACATCCCAAATGCAAGCAAGTTGTGGGGGAGGAGAGGATGTAAAGAAATCATTGGGAGCTGGACAAAGTAACTTATAACTGTACACAGTCTCTTGGCCTTCTAAAAGAGTAAAGTTCTTCATTCACTCTTTTCAAAGACCAGTGTGTCACATTTTCAAGTTGGTGGAAGGAGAGAGGAGAAAGATACCAACTTTAAAATCTCTTTTTCCCTCTCCATCCCCCACATCATTATATAAAGTCTTATCCATGGCCATATCCATCATCTTTCTCTTGTCTTCCTCCCCAGAAGTTACACAGAGAATACCATCCCCTCCCTGGGGAGAAATAAAACAAAACCCAAAACTTACTACTTTTCATGATGGTCTCGCATCTAACACTGGACTTTTTGCCACGATCCCCATTTTAAAGAAAAGAAGAAGAAGGAGAAAACTTCTTCCAAGAGCAATTCAAGAGTGTGCAAAAGTCTTCAGAGGTTTGCAAGAGTAGATAGATAGATAGATAGATAGAGGGATGAGGAACTCCACATGGGATGCAATATTTGTAAAGGCAAAAGAGAAAAGTTCCCCCTCACTATCTAAAAGGAGGATTAAAATCAAAGCTTTACACACAGAGACACACACACACAAGAGAAGAGACACCAGCAGCTTTAGAAGTTGTTGGGTTTTGGGATTTTTCTTGTTGTTGTTGTTGTTGTTGCTGTTGGAGAGGAAGGCAAAGGGGGAAGGGCTTCCCTTCTTTGGCTGCTGAACTTGACCCCTGCTGACTCCAACAAGATGGCTAATGAAAGTTTTTTTCCAAGTTGCCATTTATATATTTTTTTTCTTTGCAAGGATCAACACATGGTTTTGAAACTCTCCCTCTTCCACCTCCCAAAAACAGCCCAGTAAGAAGAGGAGAACTGGTTTAAACATCATCATCATCATCATCATCATCATCATCTCACACAACCCACTCCCCAAAATTTTTTCTAAGAAACTAAAGCTCTTGCTCTCTTTTTTTCCCCTTTTATGATCCCCACTTTTTAATGTACCCCATTTTCTCCAACCCAAAACACACACACACACACACACACTTACTACTGTCACACACAGTGACTTCTCATTTAGAGGGGGGAAATACACATTTTAAGATACAAACCCAGCCTCTCTTGCCCAATCCAAAACAACACACACAAACACTCTCACTGATTTCTCATCACACAACTAAATGCAAGAAAAAAAGATATACACACACACGTACAAATAAAAACCCCACACCAGACAGCAGCAAAGACCCAGGAAGGTGTTAACACTTCCCTCCACAACAACAACAACAACCCATTTATACACAAGGTGTTAACACTTCCCTCCCCACAACAACAACAACAGCAACAGCAACAACCCATTTATAAACACATAGCCCTCC